TAGAGTTTTTTAATGCAATGTAGGTAATCAGTGACGCTGAACACGTATGACAAGTATAATACCCCATAACTTTTTTAAGTGGTGGGTGACTTTATGAATGTTAGATATATTATTGTTATTATTGTACGATAAAATATTTTATAATATTTTGTAATTAATAGATAGAAAATACTCTGTAGTTTACAGGTATACAGTACTTGCTGTTTAATTATGATTTTTTGGTAAGTAGGTGGGTATCTAAGTAGAGTTTACCCCAGTGAAATAAAAAATGTTCAGCGTTACCGATGGTAAATATAATAATATAATATAATCGTCTTACAATCAATAATTATGTAAAAGTTCAAATTTAATAATTAATGTAAATTTTAAAATATCTCTATGTATATTTATTTCACAAGCCACTAAATTGATTTATTTGATAATTTGGATTTGTCATTAAAAATGGATTTTATTGGAACATCATTCCCAGATCATAAACTGACATCAAATTTTCATCGAATTTAGTTTATAATTACTAACCCCCCGAATTCACGTCTGTTGAAGTGTTTGCATGTAATTTATTGAAATTTTTCTGGAATTTAAAATGCGTATTGAGAAAACTAAATCATTCATAACCATTAGTTTTTCTATACTATTGATTGTATAAAGAATATGTTCTTAATTCTTAGTGATCTATCGACATCCACAGTGAGTTATGATGTTATGCCCGAAAAATAGTTGAACAATTGATTGAATTATTTGTAATTAAAATAAGAAACACGGTATATCGTTTATTTCTAGGCGTTCGGGGCTATCTATATTATACATAGTATTACGTTAAATCTTTTTCTAGTATAATGATGTACGGCGCAATTGTCTACATAAAACTCGCTAGAATTAGTTTTTTTTTTTTTGTTATACTCGAACATTAATCACTAGTTTTATATTATTTCTGTTCAATACAGTTTTAAATATTAACATGGCTTGTCGAAAATTTGTTAATATTACAAAAACATATATTTTGTCTGATCAAGTAATTTCAGTAGAAAAATGAAACAACCCACACCACCATTATAATCACCGATATTTTTTATGATGAATCACGTCTTTCAAGTATTATATATCCTTTTTATATCACCACTGCTGTTAACAATAACACAACGTCCCGACACCGATTGTGTGCAGCACACGCATTGTAATAATTTTGTTGTAGGTACATCGACGCTGGTCGGTCGAGCGCCAATGGCATATCAGGGAATATTTTGAATTATTCGTTGCTGCCGCATGCGGACAATAATATATGTATACAAAATATATTTAATTATTATTATAATATTAGTATAATATTCGAAAATGGTTTGTACAAATCTATATAATAAATGGCTACGAGCAAGGGCTGTTAGTGTACAGCAAATCGTGGAGAGCAGGACAAGTGGGGGCGGGGTTGAAATTTTTACGAGCCGGTCTCCGGCTGCAGTAATAATATTATGACCGACTGTGTTTGTGCCTTGATATTAGGGGAGGGGGTGTCGTCATCGGGTGTTAGCTTTTTCGCGGTTTAAATGAACGACCTCGGTTAAATTTTTTAGGATTTCGATCTCGTTCGCTTGTCGTTGTGTAGGTATACGGTTGGAAGATAAAGGCGAACACTCCAGTCTCCGGACGTAGATGCCGCGCATACACATCTGTGACCTAATATACATATAATGTTATCTTTGCTTAACTATACTCGCGGTCCGTCGCATAAAATATTTACTTCAAATCATCGTTCCAACCTCACTCACCGGTCTATCACTTCTATACATATACAAATACACATACACGCATATGATTATATTCACGACATACATCTACGTATAGGGGAAGCAAGCCATATCGATTGGCTAAAATGTGTCCCATTATATGACCTCCTTTCCCGACACCACCTCGTCCACGCGATAACGGAAGCGATCACCTAACTATAATATACATATTACAAATGCACGTACACTCGCCCCGGCACGTACAAATGCTTAATGATGTAATGTTGTATGTAGGTACGAGGCGATTCACGCGCTTGTGTGTATGCCTGAAAACGGACGATTTTCGCAGTTGACATAATATATTAAATGTATTTATATATGCACGCATAGAATATCTAATTAATGGATGGTTATTATTGCTTTTTTATTTCCGTTTTATCACTGATATCGTCGGCGATGAAGGCCTTGATAGAGTAGAGCTAGTCGTCGTAGTGACGCGGTCATGGTGGTAAGCGTCTTTTTGGCTTTTTTTCTTTTCTCACCGACTTGCCAAACATATATACAGTAATTTCAATTCGGAGTGCGTGTGTGCGCGCGCGCGCACGTGTGTGTGTGTGTGTGTGTGTGTCTGTGAGTGTGCACGCGTGTAAGCGTGTTCGTAGTATCTCTTCGTGTGCGTGTGTATATCCGTATATATACGAGTGTGCGCGTGCGCGCGCCTGTTCGTTGCGGTACGGGACACAACGCGCGCGGCCGGGACACCGCTAGACGGCGCCCGGTCCCCCACCGCACGCACGACGCGCACTGCTCTGCTCCGCGTACCGAGGAGCGTACCGGCGACGTCGCTCCGCTCGATCTCTCGATCAATCCGCCGGGTCGCCGCGCGTATCACCCCGCCGACGAAGCTCTCTCAGTAGCACGTTAACCGTCGTTGTCGTCGGAGCAGCAGCAACAGCAGCAGCAGCAGCAGTAGCAGCAACAGTAGCAGCACCGTACCCGGGCCCCATGTCGTGAAAAACAGAGTAACCGACGACGACGACGACTACGCTGCCGGCTAACTCGGTACGTGGTATCATGTCTGCGTAGTATGTATTTATTCGTATGGCGTTCCCTGTCTCCCCCCAAACAGCTCCCACCATCTTCCCGACGCCGGCTTTCTCGATCTGCTGCTGTCGCCTCTACAACCGACGCACTCCTATGTTCCCGGTTGTGGTCACATTTATCGTAATAATATTCACCGTTCTGTTCGTATGAATGTTTTCCAATTGTTTTCTCTCTTATTTCATAAATTACTAGAGATTTTCTCACGCGCGCCAGTAAACAGTCACCTTTACGCGTTCGTTTTCGATTTTGAGTTTTGTGTCTTATTGTATTATTCGTAACTTGTATCGATCGCGAGGGACGTGTTTTAAGAAAAATCGATCGAGTGTCTTTACCGCAGCATGCGAAATCACATCCAAATCGAAAAGTATGGTACTATGTTTGCATGATAAATATGTATTGGATAAATTATATTTATCAGTTTCTAGTCTTATGGCGTGAGTTCTGTGTCTAGTCTTGAAAACACAAGAATAAATTATGTTCTACGTCAAATTCGTAGTACTTTTTAATATTATTAACATTTTTGAATCTATATAATTGGATGTACCTTAAAAGATGTATTCACATAGTTATTTAAATTTTACGATTTGAAAACAAAGAGAAAATGTGTTACGTAATTTCCATTATTTTTTTATTGATTCCTCATAATTTAATTTTAACTGATTAAAAATAGTATTGTGCTGCAGTGTAGATACGCATACAAATGAATAGGATTTAACAACATTTATATTAAAACTATGTTATTATTTTAGTAAAATATCAAATGAATTAATAATAATTTTAAAATGTAATAATAAATGTCTTAATTACACGGACTGTCATATACTCATAATAAATAACTGAATATATTTAAAAATTAATATTTTAGTAGGTACATATTACGTGTTATATATATGAAAAATTAATATTATAATTTTTTAAATGTTTTATAAATGGTGCTAAAATAAGTAAAAAGCAGAAAAGGGATATTATATTTGATATAACTGATCGACACGTGAGTAAGACGCAAGTTTGAACTGTTGTACTATGCATAGTTTTCGGCGTACCGTACTTTATTTGAAAACAAACGAGGTTCGTGCGTATTTAAAACGTTATGGAAACTCGTGTAACGACGTTATATTGACACTGTCGAGGGAAATTTACATATCGGTGGAGGCTTTTAATTTAGGTTTATAATTTCTGTCTACTAATTTAAACTTAAACTATGAAGCTCGTGTTACGTATTTGTCGAGTAATTTATCATAATATGGGCTCTTGTACACACATCGTGTACCAGCGACGGTGGCACTATTACAGTAATATTATCACAATGACTCTGAAGTTCATAAAAATAAAAACTGAACTGGGTGGGGGGGGGTCACATTAGACACTTTATGACACGTGATAGGACATATGTGTACATAATATTACAATATTATTTTAAAAACTCAGTATAAAAACGGTATAAGTGGCGGTCCGCATAATAAATAACAATAATAATAGTAATAATATAATGTTAATGTTTAACCCAGTCTGACAAATATTTATCGTGTTAATAAAGAGGTGAGTTGAAATTATGGTCAATATTTTAGCATCTAATACATGGCTGCAGTGAACTTTTGCGCGACACCTTTTATTGAATATATTATTATAATAAGGGGTTTTAACACGGAACGGATATAAATATAAACGACGAGTTCCGTTTTACATATTCGACATTTGTCTGTAAATATATATATATGTATATTTTATGTACACATGTGTATATGTATGCGATGCATTTAAGCGATCATCTATCACATGCTGTTGACAGCGTTTTATCTTATTTATACACGCGTGTGTTCTGCTCTCCTAAGTTCATTAGTGAACGCAGCAGTAGGGATGGCGTTAAGCAAATTCGACGTATAACAAACGTGAGCATGAATGTACGTGCAGAAAATATTAACTTTACAGTGTGTATCACCCTCGTACCCCTCACACCCCGCCAGGATCGAGAAAGTTTGCGTTAAAATTGTAATTGCGTCGATGAAGCAACGTGCGTGTGTAAACGTATTTGTTTTAATGATATGCATTTTTAGGTAAAGTGCGTAAGCGGGGACTGTCATCATATTACCATACATCGCGAGAAAATGGATTTAACAAAACGATATATCGTTTCACGGTACTTCTTATCCGGCCATAAACTGTGGACGTGAAGACCGCGTGCGAAAAATAAAAAAATAAAAATTGAAAATATTGAAAAATGCCAAAAAATATTGTAATACAAGTTGTTCAACAAGATGGGGTTTTCATGTAAAATGTGTGCTCAATGTCTTAACTGTAAATTATTTGGACGATAAATTAAGTAAAATAAAGCGGTGGAAAATTAACGAAGTGAAACGATGAAAATAATATTATCATGTTTGCCGGAAAGAGCGTAGTAGTACGGTGCGCCTTCATCACGATTTAGAAAGCCGGGAGCCCATGCGTTTACGCGTCAAGATGAGCTGATGGATGACGAGCCGGCGGCGGATGAGGCGACGACTAATGAAGAGAAAGAAAAGGTGGAGAAAAAGCGATTGGAAGAGCTCCGGGAGAAGGTGCTGTTCTATCTGACCACGTTCTTTATACTGCTCGGTATATTCAGTCTGTTCGTCTTCCTGTTCCTGGTGCCATTCCTCATTGAGCCGGCTATCACGACGATATTCATGGAGTTCGACGAAACGCCAACCACGTGTGTGACCGCGTTCTCGGAGATGCGCGAGGGCGCGTCCAATTGTTCGCAACCGGGCGGTTGGGCGTCGTGCCGGGAGGGCTGCACCCGCGAGATCTACCAGTGCGCGCAGATATTCGTTAACTACTCGTTGCACGGCGATCGGGCAAAAGACTTGAACGCCAGGCACCGGAGGTCGTTGCTGGTCCGTGGCTACAAACCCATAGAACCCGAGCCGGCTACATGGGCATATTCGTACGCGCGCATATTCCCTAACGTCAAGGGCTGTGGTTACCCACCGCATCTTAACTGTTCCGTGTTCCACCAGCGGTACTTCGAAGTGGGCGCCAGCTATCCATGTTACTACAGTCGCGTCGAGCCATGGGTAGTCATCACTGAACTGGACCTGGCCAAGAGCACCAGGCAGCTGATCTACTCGATGGTGTTCCCTATACCGTGTTTCGTCGTGTCCGTCGTGTACGTGGCGCTCGCTTATTTCTGCGTGTACGCCGGTCGCAACCGTGGGCCCAAAGTTAAACGTCGCGTTGTACGGAGGATGGTTGGTGTCGGTGGCGTCGGTTGTGGCAGCGGTGGTGGTAGTGGTGGTGGTGGTGGTAGTGGCGGCGGCGGTGTTGGTGGTGGTGGTGCTTGTGCGAGTTTCGGTTATTCGTCCCGAGCGAAAACGGGTTCGGAAGCCACGCCGTTGACCAACAACAGTACCGCGGCCGCGCCGGCCACTTCGTCCGCTGGCGGCACGGGCACACCCGGCAGTGAACTGCTGTACCGAGACGATGACGATGACGACGACGACGACGATGACGACGCGTCCGACACGTATTACGGTGATCAGCTCAGGTCCACGCTGGCCGTGGACGACTCGTCTGCCGACTACGTTAAGACGCTTCGCTTGTCCGAACACACGCTCAGACAATCAGACTCGAACGAACCTTCTAGGTTAGAGTGGTCCGAGGACGACAACCAAGACTCCGTCAGTGCATGTGAAAGTCTCGACCGGTCCGTTAAATCAAAATCCACCGCATTCGCTCCGTTAACTAATTCTACCGGGTATGGTCTATTTATATGTGTTTTTGTATTTTCTTCACCAATCTGACATGAAAAAATAACTGTATATATTTCTAGGCGCCAAATCAGTTTCATTGCCTGACGCTTTTTTGTACATTCTTGTACTTGCTTAACCTTTATTGTAATATTAATATTATCTTTTAATTATAAGCGCATAATTATCAATGTTCGGTTCTTATACTTTTTTTTTATTTCTCGGCGATTTAATTTTGATTTAAAATGTACGTTTTATTCTGAATTTCATCTTGCACGTACTCTAGGTATAAACAATATTATTTTTATAAAATATTTTATTAGAAATTAATTAATTTTAAATGTTAGTTGAACGTGAACAATTTTAATTTTTAATCGTAAACGTGAAACATTGTTTTCTTGTATTACGAGTATTTACAATTGTTTGTTTTAGGACTTAGTGAATGTATTAATGTAAATATGGATTTGATTTTGGAAATTTGAGGACAGTAGATGGATAAGTATTATAGAACGCCAATATAAACGAATAGTAGTAAAGTCTCAGAAAAAATATAATGCTTGAAGCATTTTATTTTGTTAACTCGGATTATATCATTTTACGAGTAATATGTTACTCGTAGTTATCAATAATGATAAATTCGTCTATGATTTACTTTCTTTAGGGATTTTTACTATGAATTTTGTTGGTTTTTATTTAAATATTTTACAACGAGACTAATATAACCACTGACTAAAGTCTTTGTATTTTCTAAGAATGTGGTTGATATTGGCGCAATAAGAAAATGATTTATCTGGACGTTTTCCAAAAATATTTGCTTTTTCTTTGCCAGCCATTTTTAAACTTATCGCGTTTAGCTCAAAAGGGGAATTCGCTCATTATAGCATTGAACAGACTTTTGGTGGTTTTATAAAGAGAAGTGTCTTTTGAATTTTTAGAACATCGAAGTAGCATGGTAGATTATGAAAAACGATTTATTATATTGTTGTGAATTTGCCAAATTGTGTAATTATTCAAATGGATAATCACACAAATATTTTTGCAATAACAAGATTTTTTTTTTACTATGACTTTAGTTATTTTTCTATAATCTGAAATGTTTTTCTTTCAAAATATTCTATTTTATTTTTTATAATTTTTTTGAACTGTCAGTTAAACGATTACGATTTCGATTTATAATATTTGAAAATAATAAAAATAAATCTATAAGTAGAATCTTCAGGTTTTTATTTTTGAAGAAATGTTATATATATTTGACCTCAGTATTAACATATTTATACTATTTGATGTGAGTCTTTTAATTATGCCACATCCTGAGCCCTCATTGAAGGTGATACGCTGTTTAGCATTTTAATCAATACAGAAGAATGGATTCGGAAAATAGCTTTGCTTATCGAATAGAAATAATTTTTTGATTTAATTCCTTTTCAGATTACAATTATTCAGTGTTAATTTTTACGAGTCAATAAAAACAAGTATACGAATTATACGAGTACTATATTGAAAAAAAAATATTTACATATAAAATAATTTATTGTTAATATAGTGTTATTTTCTAAACATTTTAAAAAGAAATATTTTTATTGTTGGTCGGAGCACGTAGTATATTCCATACATATAGACCAAAAATCGAAAGTTAATTTAATATAATTTTTGTAACCAGATTTTAATTTAAACTAAATGTACGAATTTCTCATATTTTCCTTTACAACTAACAATTGGGAATCCGATTTTTTATTTTTCCCCTAGAATTCATAAAAAAACATTTGATTATTACAATTTTTTTTATAAAAATTGTAATATTGTTTGTCTTTATTTTAGATATTTTAGAACTATAAATAGAAAAAACGTTTCTTAGTTGTCCTAGTCAAGACGTTAAGAAATTATATGTGGCACTGTGGAAAAAATAAGTTCTAGCGAACTAAAATGTGTATGATCAAATGATCAACAAAATCAATGCATTAAATATAGGCAACTATATAGAAAAATATAATAAATTTCTTCTACAGAATATTTTATTTACTACTATTTTATTTTTTATTACTATTAAGAAAAACAAAACACCACTAAGTATTTTATTATAAACAGATTAAAAAAATTAATCAATTGGAATCATTTGAAGGTTCATTTTCACTAGCGCTAGATTTTGATTCATTACTTGATACTAATTTTTCGGTGTTCAATAAATAAATAATTTCTGGGGGCAATTTAGTGATAGATTTTTTAGGTTGAGTTCTTAATGCTTTTAAATTAAGGATTATAATATTATGTTGTGTTATATGTCATATGTTGTCTAGAGTAAATTAAAAAAATGTATTGTTATTTATCTGTGGATTGAATGGTATTCTTTACATTAAATATTGTCTTCGTTTTTGACTTTTTGGGCTTCCTTTAATAACTGACAAATCAAAATATACTAATGAGCCGTACATTAATATTTTGTATTTGCATGGAGGCATATGATACCAATCATAAAGCTTAGTATACAATTTAGCAGTTTATGTTGCGTAATTATCAAATCGTTTGTGGTTTATTTCCGAACCACTAGACATAATCGTTAAAGTGACAGAAAATTAATTTTATTAATTAATATAAACTCCGGTTATTTTAGAAATCTTTTTCAGTATTTTTAAAAAACCTACGAGCAACATTTTCAGTATTTAATATCCTCATTAGTGATACTTTTAGTTGAAGCGGCTGATTATAATAGCATACAAGTATACAAAATCATAATGTTACAAATGTGTGTGTTTAAAACAGACTTTATCGAATTTATCGTATCACTGACGAAATTGCCATTTCATTGAAAAAAAATAATTGAGTCCTAGAGTTTTCTTAAATATACCTCAGGCCTTCGGCCATATGTGTCACGAGGATTTCTTCTATTCAAATTGATGCGTTTTCTTCCTGTTCCCTATTATATAATCCTAAAATCTTACTTGATTATCATACAACATATTGATTTGCAGTGCTGTCAATAATTTTGAATGTAATCAGTACGTTCTGTATGCATAAGTATGACAGCTTTATCGTACATTTTAATAATTATGTCTCGTGTATAATTAATAATTATTAATCACGGAAAAGTGCCTACTTTTTATAGTGTGTCGTAGTATATATCTCGGAATGAAAATTATTTGATAAAATTGAATTGCATATTGTTACACGCGAAAATTTGAAATTACCGTTTAAATTATAGAGATACTGCACTTTCATGTTATATTATTATTGTATTACAGCTACTCGTAATTTAAGTATACGCCGTCACACGTGACTCTTCCGTCAGGCACGTAAATATGTACTTATATGGGGGAGGGGGACGATTACCTTTCTTCAAAATTATTGGGGCTTAAATAATGTACAGTAAAGTAGTATGTACAGTATATCTTAATTCGTGTTTATTAAAATACGATCTTTGAGGGAGGGTGTGATCGCTTCTATCCCTCTCTTAAATGATGTACCTGTCTTCTTACGTTAATGTCTCAAAACACTATGATAAATAACATTTAACTTACTGTAGCCAGAGTTTTAATAATTAACAAGATAGTTATGTTCTTATTCCCCCTAATTTTTTTTTAATTTTCAAAGATAACTTATTACAGACATTTGAAACACAGTTATAGCTATAATAGGGAATAAAAAAAGTTATTTATGAGTGGGTATATTTGATTTACTTTTCTTGGTAAGTTCTAGTGTGTGTACTTGTATTTTATCATTGTTTCTATTCAATATTACTACATTTACACGTGTAGGATATACGATGAAAAATTAATGGATAATAAATAAACAATAGTGATCTATTGGAAAATGAGAGTGTTATAATATGTTGGTCAGATACCGTTTTTGTATTTCTTGTATGTAATACTTATGCATACAATACATTAATTATGTTATCCGACGTGCAGTTTTTATAGCACGTTAATTATAGTTCTTGTATTATTATTACAGAGGATATATCGATAATCGTGTGATAATTGTAAACATCTTTTTGATGTTAAACATTGTTGTATAGGTACTTAGAATTTAGAACATTCCTGATACATTCATGAGCGTTTTTCTCGCCACTAAATTTTTTTCTTAATCGAATCGTTGAGCATTACAAAATACCATTGCATTATGGCAGATCGGTAAGATTTCCTATAAAACTTTTTTCTATCCACGACTTTCTCACGCTATCGGTTCTTGGCGGTTGTTTTTGTTCCGGCGAGACCGATCAAAACACATTAGTTATTTACTTCCCATTGGTTTGTTTTTTAAACAAATTAAAAAAAAAATATAATTTTTTTAAATTTATTGTATAACTATAGTCACCGCACTTTATTATGTTCAACTGAATTAGTTTTAAGTAAGTTAATTATTAATTAATTTAAAATTATCCGAATATCTTTTAATACAAGATAAAATATGATATACTAAGTATTTTGTATTTTTTTAATTGTTTTGAAAGTAAAAATGTATAATTTTTTATTATTTTTATTATTTTTTAAAAATGTCTAGACGCACAATTTTCTATTAGTTGGCAGGTTAGAAATACTCGTAGTTTTAATATATTTACGTTTCAATTACTATGCTTACATAATTCTCTTTTAGGTTATAATAATTATTTTTACTTCGTTTTTGTTATTTATTTTATTATTTATTCATATTATATTATGTAGTACGTATTTTACATTTTATATTTTATGTTTTATACGTGGAAATCATTTTATTTACACTTTATTCTCAACTCATGTATAAACAAATACACGGTGTATCAAAAGTCTCATCCAATTTAAAAAATTTATATTTATATTAAAAATGAAAATATAAGGGTGAAATAGAGTAAAATATATTCTTAAAATAGTCAAGTTTTATTTACTTTGGTTACAAATGTTTAATATGACTCCCACCGGCCGTCCGACACACATATATGGTAATCAAATTCTTCCCAAACGTTGTTGATCATATCTGGTGTCGTGGCATTAATAGCATCTTCGATTCTGATTTTAAGCTCTTCCAAGTTTGTAGGTAATGGTGGTACATACACTTTATCTTTTATGTAGCTCTATAAAAAAAAAAATCACACACTGTGAGGTCAGGGGAACGTAGTGGCCAGGGATAAACTTCGAATGAAACTTTGTCGAACATGCTCAATGTTTTCGTTAGAGGTACGTTGTCGACCTGAGCGTTTCTGTGCACATAGACAACCACTTTCTTAGAAAGTTTGGTGCCAACGTCGAATGCTTTGAACAGTAGGAACTTTAGTTCCCTAAGTTCTTCGAAAATCACGATGAACGATTAATATCGACTCGCATTTATTGAAACGTAGGACGCAAAACGCTTTCTGTTGCGGAGTTGTCATAATGAACAAAATAATGGTTCCTAGTTCACTAACCATTTCGGTACCAAATTTATCAATTAGATAACTTAAAATAAACTTAGTTATCTAATTTTTCCATTAATACATTGGTCATTAACCTGCGATTAACCGTTGCTGAACTTTATCAGTTCGTAATTGAATGAAGACTTTTGAAACACCGTGTACTTCAAAATACCTATGCATATTTTCCGGAAATCGATTTATCTTTTATGTCCGTTAAAATTTTGATTTGGTGACTTTTACTTGTTTGACGTCATTTTTTTAGTATTTTTTTTAAATTTAATATAGCAAAGGCAATAAATTTAAACGTGCCTTCCAGTATCGTTTGTTATGGTAGCTGCTTTGTATAAGAAACTATTTTTATCTGCAAGATAGTAAGGTAAAATTGACCAAACAGTTTGTGAATTGACTATGGTACGAGTCGAAAATTGTAGAATAAGGGAATGGCTTTGTCGGGGCAATGAGATGAAATCGTTGAATTTCCAATGAATTTCCTACACGCGGGCGCATGATCTTTTTTCATCTGTTCACCAAGCACCTCAGAGTTGACCCAATGACCCAATGACCCTTACCAATAATCAATTCATGATATTTACGCATTAGTAAAAATATGTTCGTTGTGTACGTAATATAAATAATAATCATTGAATAAACAAATATATTTCTTTGCGTTATCTCCAATAGATTGATACGCATTATATCCATGAGGATTATTGACTATATATATATATATATATATATATAAAAAAAAAAAAACGTTATAAACATAATATAAACATTTTATTTTGAAATCTTATTTACTCGATCATTTTGTTTGAAAGTTTCGTGTAGCTTCTATTTAATCTCGTTTCGATTTATATATATATATATATAGTTATTTATTTTAAGTAACTAATGGTTTTTTTAATTTATTTTTTTTGTTAGTTCTTTAAATTACTTGAAATTGCTTCGGTGATATGATCATATTATTTACATTTATAGAGATAAAGTATATCGCTATAAAGCAATGAAGTATGAGAAGTTCAACAAATTTAAAATAACAATACGATTTAAATTGTTTATTCGAACTTCCATAAAAATGAATTCTTCGGTATTGATTTTTTTTTTTTTTTTTAACTTGGTTCATTTTAATTTTCATCAGTAATTGACGTAAAAATCATTGTTTCATTTTATTAAAATAGTCATATATTCAGCGTTTAATATTTAAGTTTTTTTCCCTTCGTTTTATCCAACGATATCTGGGCTACTCATGTATCATATAAACATTAATTACCTAAACTTTTTTTTTTTTGCAAAATTATATTGAACAGAAGTACTTAAGCGTTTAAATAACGTTTAAATTCAATACTGTTTTGAACGGACATCAAATAATGACGATGACGTGTAACTATTAATGATAACATGCATTGGCAGCATTTATCAAAATTAGCCATTAAATTTATTTTGTATGTGTCATACGAACAGAAACAAGTTATTAGTATTGTTGGTGTAGTGCAAGGTTGTCTGTAACGATGAAAAGTTTACCAATTCAGTAGTTAATTAAATATATTTATGTTTTACAATTTATTGTAATTGAAATATAGGTACTTCAGTGGTAGTGTGTTGATATTTTTTAAATGGCAATCTATATATTTATGTTTCAGAAACTTGACCAAGACGATGACGACGTGTATCTTAACTCCCCCTGGGCCGACGGCGGAAGTCTGAAAAGAAATTTGCATCATATTGATGGTATTTCCTGGAAGCCCAAATAATGACTAATTTATTTTGCGTATTGTTGTTAATCATAAACCTACACTACATTTACCTTGTTATAAAACGTTTAATTAAATTTCACTCAAATTAGTAATTTTCCGCTGCAAATTTACATTTTGATTATTTGTACTAGTTTGTCTATATAATAATAGTATTAGGATTATATACACACAAAGACACACACTTATACATCATTTCTATCGCGATTATGGGGCCAGTATTTCAGAATTCTATTGCTACCTTGCTGAATGAGTAGTTTGAAAATAAAATGCCGTGTACAAAACCAATTGGCAATTTTTTTTCTGAATGGTATTTCATCATATTTTTGGAATTTGTTGATGTTGTTCATTATAATAATATTTCTTTGCCATTATCATAGTTTATATGATTTTTATTTTTATGTATAAGGCCTTGTATTATCAATAAACGTTTAATTGATGAATATCGTTATTATTGAAATTGGTTGATTAAAATAATAATAATAATAATAGTAATAATAATATAATATTAACGTGTATTTATTACATTTATATGTGTAGTAACTAGTAGTTACAGTAGTGTAACTGTAATTAGGTTCAGATGATGCGGTGGAACTCTTCAAATATTTCCTAATACATCATTATTATTTATTTTTTTTTTTAAATATAATAACTTATGAATTCGTTACGATTATATAAAATCAATATATTCATTATTTAAACGATAAATAAAAAATATACGTTGTTGTAGACGTTGTACCTATCTTTTTTTGGGTATCTTCACAGATTACCTACACAATATGTCCCTGTTTTTGGTGGAAACAAGAGGCACTTTAATGGACTTAGCCACCCAAATATTTCATTAACCCCTTAAAATATTTATCTATTTCCCCGTAATTTTTTCATAAATATTTCCATGCATGTGTTAGAGCAATTCCGTCAACAATTTTAGAAATTCCCGAAAATATTGTTGCTGTTTTTTTTATGTCCATTTTATATTTTCTTTGACAAATGAGGTCCAATTTTTTATTTTACGGTAATCAAATTAATACCCGTTATGAGTTTACATATTTTATTCGATACAATTGAAGCGTGTTGGTCTTTTTTTAACAAACAACACCGAGTAGTCTTGTTTTTTTGTTTTATTGACATACGACGACTAAATTATAATAATAATAATAATAATATGTATACATTATATAGTAAGCGTTGATCGATGTCTTTAAATATAGTCATATATATATAGGTATGTATAATTAAATAAATAGAAAAGAGAGAGAGATAACGAGGTACCTCTACTAGTATTATTATTAATCGTCTAAATCAATAAGCTCAAATAATTATAGTGATTATTGTTATTGTTGTTATTATTATTATTATTATTATTATTATTATTATTAAAATATTCTAATATATCATGGGTAATTTAAAAATAATTTTAATTTATTTAATATAGTCTTACTTTTAAATACCAATATCGACTTACTGAATTAGATGTATAGATTTATAGCTGTTAATAAGAGATAATACCTCAACCTACCTCTTTTGAACCGACGACATCGGCGTTTATAGCATTATTATTGTTATTATTATTATTATGCATTATATTTCAGGTGCACAGGCTTTTGGACGATGAAATATTGGTCATATTTTATATGTTTTTAAAACTAAATCTTATACTTAAATATAATTTCCAAAAAGACTGATACGTGCTATTCGTTGTAGATATAATATTATTATTGTGAAATTTAAATTATGAGTAGTCGTAAGATCTCAAATTATTATTATTTTTCAAAATTTTAATCGCGTTTCTCATTACATTATTATTATGTGTATTTGTATAGAATTTACTTCTAATTAATTTTTCTTATTTATTAATAATTTATATACATAGATGTTTACAAAAATCGAACTAATGATGTATTATAATATTATTATTTTTAAATATTGTAATAATGTGACCAGCTCCTACAACTTAATATTATATAAGTGTACGAATAGATTTACCTGAAATTTATTTGTAATTTGTGTATTTGTAATTTGTAACAGTATAGACTTCTTAAGTATAGACATTTTTTTCATTTGTAAGTTTTTCTTTATTGGAAGTTTAATGTTTAATTTACATTTACACGTTTTTATATAGGCCTAGGTTTTTTTTAGGCAATTTTTTGAGAGCGTTATTTTTTTATACTTATTATATTTTATCCTAATAATATTGTAAAAAAAAACAAATTTTATGAATATATTTTTCATTGTTCTCTTGTAGAATAATAGTATTTCATATTTTGAGTCTATTTTTTTGCACTTTCATTGTTCACGTTTACTATTACCATTATTTTATCGTTACAAAAATATATTCATAATTATATCATTTTTTTTGCTTACATGTTATGAGTATTAATATAGAGCACGCGAAGAGAGAAGTGTAACTGTCACTTATCGTGACAATTATATATAATGTTTAAAGATAATAATAATTAATAAAAATATTGATGAATAAATGAATGGCTTTACTAATATTTCTGTGTTTTTGTGTTTGTTGCAAATTTAATTTACGGAATAATTATACGTATATTGCATTGTTTTGCAGCACGCTCTATGATAATTAATTAAAGTTCTATATATGTGTATACACCAAAAAATATACAGGTACCGATTTTGATCCCCAAAACTTTGAAGTTCAAACACAAAATTCAAAGTCTGAACGTATCATTCTGTAATATTATTATTATTATTTTAATTTTATTATTACTAACTGTACAGTTAGTAATGATATAATATTGTATTATAGTAATACAGCATGTAGACGCGGCAAGTGCCCAACAATAATATAGGGCTAACTTGTTCGCCGAAGAATTCTTGTAATAAATAAATAATGTGTGTTACGTAATAATAATAAATAAATAAATTTATTAGTTTGACTGATTGATACAACAACAATAATAAAAAAAAAAAAAAAAAAAACAATACAATATAATGACAATTTATTTTAAATAATAAAAATAATAAATAATAACAATTAATTTTTAATTAATAGCTGGCCCTACAATGGCACAGCTAATAAATGAAATAATAATAACAATATGTGGCCCATCCTGGCACACAATAAATAAAATAAATAAATATATAATTATAATAATGTTTAGCCCACATGGCACATAATCAATATAATTATCAAAAAATCTTTGGGTCCATCGACCGTTACTAAAAATAAAACACTTAACAAAAATATGGTCGACCAATACTCACGCACAACACGAGGTGTGCCGGGGACAGTAATTAATAAAACTAATACAATAAAAGGCACAAATTGATCCCGCACACACACAATCGTATGCCGACAGTTGTTGACGAAGAACTCACAAATCCCGTCACAGCACAATGTGAAACGACGATGAAAAACCACGCTATTCACAAAAGCTGCAGACGGCAGACAAAATACAAAAACAAGAAGAAACGTGGTTTTAAACAAGATGGCTGTAAACAGGAACGATAACGAAACTTTAGAAAAAATTTATTTGATGTGTACACATTGACGAACACGAATAGTGAGAGACCTATACTTTTGAAAACACTTAAAAACGATAATTTACATATTACGATAACTGTGCTATTACAACTGTTTAGTCACGCATGGAGGTATACCTCCAAGCTAAACAAATGCAGCTATGCAATGCACCGCTATGCATCACACTAAATTAACATAAACAGATAACATACTATAAACTATACACATGGCTCAAACACAGCACACGTATGTATTATTATATTAAATTGTGTCAAATGATTACGTGACGTTAAAATTATTAATGTATAAATTAATTTAATAGTTATTTATTATACTTCTTATTATGTACTTTATTATTTTCAATTTTAATCTATGGTATTTTTTTATTTTTTTTGTATTCATCTAGCATTAATATTTTTCAGCAACACTAATTTTCACGATAAATCAACATAATTAATTATATTTTATTTTTAAAGTCGCGTATAAACCTTGAATGAGTAAGAGAGACTGTACATCATATACGATTAACTAAACTAGAAAACAAAAGCTGCTTGATTACTTCTTTGTAGTAAGTTTATTATATATGCTTATATTATTGTATTTTAAATAAATATATTAAATATATTTATATTATATATATTTAATTAAGTCCTAAATATTTCCACGCTAGTCACCGATTGATTTCCGTCGTTCAAAACTGCAAGTGAAAACTTCCTGATAATTTTGAAAAAAAAAAAAAAAAAAGAAAACTATTGCTTATATTTGCGATTCCTGCATAAATTATGCAAAATGTTCAGAACCATATCGTTTGACTGATGAACACATATACTACTTATTAAGAACTAGTGTTACACATTTTACTTTAAATACTGAAAGATTTTTTTAAAGAACAACAAGATAAAATTTTGCATTTATATCTATTAAAAAAATTCTAAAATCTAATATACATTTTTCACAATAAAATAAAAAGTTGATTTTATTTGTGATTCTTAACATTAGGTAAAATTTATTTTTTAAATTATAATTTTTATTTTATTTTGATTTATACATATATAAATTTTTTATTATATTAAATGGTCATGGGTCAGTTAGAATACTTCCACGGGCTATAGGTTGGGCATGCTGGGTATGGGGCGACCAAAACTATTATAACACTATGATTACATTGAGCTCCATGCGTCTAATAACATTGTATTTTGAACATTTAATAGACGAATAGAACCTATATCGACTTGAGCGCATAAATTAAATGTTTCGATACCATTTTTCATATTATCGAATCTGATTACTGAAGTCTCCATATAGAATTATATACAAAATATATAATGATTAGACATGTTAATTTATTGTTAAGTTTTTAATAGTTAATTACGTTGATATAAAACCATTCATTCGTTTCGATATTTAAAAATTTGGATCAAACGAAAAATATTTTAATATTCTAAATTACCTTTTTATAATTTTATACTTTACTGAAAAACCTTTTTAATATTCATGTTGTATTATATCGTAGAATTTTTTTAATAGTTTTGGTATAATTATGTCATATATTCCAAAGAACGTTACGGTCATTATATTATGGTTGCTGTGTTATTAATATTTTCATAT